TAAATTTTGGTCACATAGGATGTACTTTATACTCTACCCCAGCAAATTAGGGTGGCCACTGATGTGCTTGGTCTCTTTCTTCGATTTCCTTCAGTTTCCCATTGAGCTGAATTTAGTTCCACATTAAGGCACATATCCTTTAGAAAACAGGAAATCAGGAGCCCTGGGTGCTGGTCTGGCCAGTATGATCTTGGGTGAGTTACAGCACCTCCCTGGACTTCTGTTGCTTGCAATTACAGACCCTGACTAAAACAACCAGACCACTGGCTAATTGACCAGAAGCTGCCCCTCCGCAAATCCTCAAGTGGTAGGCGCTATCTCTGCAGTCTTCATTCCTCCCTTTTCCGTGACAATTTTCCTGCTTGTGTGGCCCCTTCCCACAGGCCCTTGGTACTTCCCATGGTGCTCTTGACTGTTACATCTGTCCTTCCACCTTTTTCAAAGTCAGCCCTCATTGGAAGGGGCCTATGCTCTGTACCACTTTGTTCCTCTGCCTCATGTAGAAATCCTCTTTTGAGGTGGAAAATATCTAATTAGTGAATTCAGACTCTAAAATGTAATTAGCTGTTACCAACTTAATGTGTTCTTTCTTTGGTGGTCATTTTAATTTTAGTGGATGGATGAAAATATTTAGTTAATTGATAGAAAAGTAGAATCTTAGTTACCAGTGTCCAGCTGGCTTATAAGGGCCTTCTGGTTGCCCTTATCTCACAACCCAAAGGCAGCCTCCTATTTTGCTCATGGAGGGTGGGTTTGAGGGCAGCCAACTGGAAGCACCTTGTGAAAGAATAAAATACCCACCGTCAAGATTTCATAGAGAGGAGGGGACAGAAAGGTAGAGACCTGCAGGAAATAGCAGGTGTGGGCTGGAAGGCTGCTGTGACAGTGCCAGTGCAGGCAGAGGGCAGCTCGATGGCTTGGGGGACCACAGGCACCCAGAAAGTCTCTAATATGGGAAGAAGGGGATAGGGAGTAGAAGAACAGGAAAATGGGCATTGAGACTTGGGTTTGAATCCCCATTCAGGCATTCACTGGCTCTATTAACACACACGTCAATCACTTTAAGCCTCAGTTTTCATCTGTAAAAATGGGGATGGTTATAATACCTATCTTATAAGATTGTGGAAATTAAATGAGATAATTAATGTGAAAGTACCTAGTAAAAGGTAGGTTTAGTGAGCCATGTCTCCAGAGATTCTGGGTGGCCAGGTATTGTTGTGTGTTTTTTTTTAAAGCTCATCAGGAGATTGGAATGCTAGAACTTATAACAGCTGTGATAATATATTTCACTTCCTTTACATAATTCATAGTGTTGCCCAGTGGTCAGGCATGAGTGTGAGTAGGTGGTTGGTTCCTCATTTCCAAAAAGGAAATTATGTAGGCCCAAGAACCGTATTAGACTTGTGAAGTTACAGGTTTGAAGGGCCATCCAGTCCAATTATTCATCTGTTGGTTGCATCATTCTTGCCAAGTGGTAGTTTAGGCCAGTGTTTCTCCAACTTTAGCTGGTATCAGAATCACCTGGAGGGCTTGTTAAAACCCATACTGCTCAGCCTCTGCCCCAGAGTTTCTGAATCCATAGACCTGGGGTGCGGCCTGAGAATCTGGATTTTTAACATGTCCCCAGATGAGGATGCTGCTGCTGGTCTGGGGCCCACAGAGAACCACTGATCTAGACAGTGCTTACCAGAAAAGTTCTTCCCTTGTGAGCCTGTTCACCTATCATCTGATAACCTACAGCTCTGACATAATCTGCTGGAAAGTTCTGATATTAACCTGAAATCTCTTTAGCCCTTTTACCTGTAGGCTCTTTGTCTAGTCCTTTGATGGTAGAGTTAAACATTATTTATATTAGCCTTAACAAAAAGCACTTTGGTTAGCAATTCTCCATTCTAAGGGTAAAAGAGAACCCAACTGTATTGGTACTTTAGAAGTGTGGTAAAAACCTTAAATCTGATCTCCTAGTCCTAGTCCTAGGATTACAGTTTCAATTGAACAAATGCATTCTAAATGCCCAGTGTGTTTAAGGAGTGGGAGATACCTAACTGAAGAGCCACCTCAGGATTTCCTTTGGAAGGATGGACTAGCTACTCCCAGCTCGATAGACATGGGTATTTAGTGATGGACAACTCGGTGCTCCTCCGTGGTTCTGCCACAGCTTTGTGGACTTATAACCATTCTGGCAATGAAATGCATATTTTGGCACACACGCAGCTTGCTCGACAAATAAAAGTTTAATAGACGTATATCTGAAAGTTTCTAGCACTTCAGGGAGATTTTGAGATTTATTCTAGCATACCATACAATGAGTTTTATTGGGAACTGCAAAATATGTAATTTTAATAGGATTGGTAAGCACAAAACTTTGACACCACTGAAAAAATATTGGCCATGCCAAGGCAACCCCTATAAAAGTTTGCAGAATGTTTCAGAAAAGAATTATTAGGGGCTGATTTTAGTGGAGCTTCAGCCAAGGCCTCATTTTTAAGGAAACATATCTATGTTTCTAAGGAAAGAATAGGTAGTGGCTGCCTTTAAAGACAGGCTAATCTGCTGATCTTTGTAGCTATGTGAGGAAAAGTCATGGATATTGTTTTGGGTATATTTGGTGAAAAAGACTAATAATTAGAGGTACAGCCAAATTTCTTATAACAATGAGTCTTATTAAATCAGCTATGTTTTAGGAAAACACTTCAAGGTGAAATGACAGTGCTCTTTTGCATTTAAAAGCTGGAAATTTAAGTATTAGGGAACTGGGTGTTTTCCTTATTACTCATCTTCATCATTGGGCCCAAGCTAAGATGCTTTATTTTTTTAACACACACACACACACACACATCGAGAGAGAGAGAGAGAGAGAGAAACAGTGATGTGAGAGTGAAACATCGATTGGCTGCCTCCTACATAGCCCTTCTCTGGGATCAAGCCAGCAACCCAGGCATGTATGTGCCCTGACTAGGAATCGAACTGTCAATTTTTTGGTACACACAACAAAGCTTAACCAACTGAGCCACACTGAAGCCATAGAGATGCTTCATTTCTTGCTGATGAATGTAGGGTGTGCATCTTGGTCCACTAGGTAAAGAGCTTTCCAGCCCCACTCCTTTGTGACCTTAACATCTCATTTTCATTGTCCATTGAAAATGAGAGGGTAATTCCTGCCCCACAGCTTGTTGTGAGATATTATGGGATGCTATACAAATGACACACTCAGCCTGGAGACCAATACATGCCTCTATAATAGGCCATACAGCCTGGGGTAAGGGTCAGTGAATAGTGATATCCTTACGTCAAGGATAAGAAAACCAGATGGTCACTCCCTGAAGGGAAACTGTTGTCCCAGGTCTCCATCATCTTTTTACTGAGGGCCTGTAGCAGTTCTTCCCAACTGTGTGCCCTGGAACATAGATGTCCAATTAGTTCTTAAGAAGTAGCTGTGAACACAGGGCTCTGCGGTCAACACACTTGGCAAATGCTGCTAATAGGCACATTAGCATATTAAGGTCAGTGAAGAGCCCCATAGTGAAGAAACCTGTCCAACGTTGTTTAAGGAAGTAGTTCCTAAGCTTATTCCAGTGACAGGAATGTACTGACAAGACTACTAACACCCTGGGGGGACACTGGTACCCTCAGGACAGAGTTAGGGAGCTGCTGATTGAAACCCTTTAATTCAGTAAGACAGACTTTGTCCTTGGTGCTTATGGGTCCCAGCCCATAGTAGGTATGGGCCATATAATTGGTTGTGTGTACATTTCAATTTCCTGCCAAAACAATGGCTTCCTGGGGACACAACTTGTTTGCACTGTCACCAAAAACAGGGAATGCTGCACAAATCTTTTCCCTATACACCTCTGTCCCTACTATGCTGCCAGGTTAGTGAACTTCATTGAACAGACTTTGGACGTGCCAACATCTTGTTCTGACCCATCTTTCCAAAGAAGTCATTGTAAGGCGAGGGTTTGGCCCAGCTGCCCAAAGCAGAGGTGGCTGCCTGTAGTTCACACTCCCCTGGGGCAGATCTGAGTGATGGCCAGGTGCCAAGAAGCCTGAGAAAGGTGCTTCCCGCTTTTCTGCAGAGAACTCGCTTGCCAAAAGCAGGTGAGACCCCGAATCAAGGGTTCTGCTCTTCAACACCAGGTTCTATCACTGCGAGTTTCACTCAGGACAGTGCTTTTATTCTGTTTTTCCTCACAGCTCAATCCTCTTTCCTCTTAGAAAGGAAGCCTTTGTGTTTGGCCTGGTCCTGAGGCTTCGGCAAACTTCCTGCCTGTGCTGGCTCTTGGTTCACCTTCCTGTGCGGACTTGTTGTGGCGAGGGCACGCTCACTCACAGGTTTTCCCTCCCCGGGTTCTGCACATGGCCCAGCTACACTTCTTCAGAGTGCTCCCTTCTGTGGAGAAATGAGAGCTGCCAGAGACAGGCTCTGTGACAGGGAGGGCTAGCTAATTGGCTGTCTGCCCTGAATGATAATCTGGAAGTGATCAGTGGAGAAAAAAGATAACACAGCTGTGATTTTCAGGGAGACAGGTCCCGGTTTTTCTACCTGCCAACCACGTTTCCTCTGAGGAGTTTTTTCCGCAAGTTGCTATAAAAGAGACCTTTTAATCTTGTTTCAAAAGCCTGGAGACCCAAGTCTTTCCAGATCTTGGGAAGAAAGCAGGCCAGGAAAACGTGCGTTGCCGAGGAGTCTGGGGGTTTATAGGGGAATGTGGTGGAGGGCAGGCGGGCAGGCAGGATGCCATTGCAATGCTGTGTCTCAGCTCTGTGTGTGCTTGAGAGGACTCGGTGCTCTTGCCTCCAAGGGCTTTCATCCACAGCTCTGATACTGTTTGTGGGTGGGGATGGAGGGAGTCTCAGAGGTTGACGAACATAAATCTGTCAGTGGGTGATTTTCAGACATCTGCCTGGAGCAATTGCAGACAAACATGGGAGTTATTGGTGCCACAATGTACCTGATGAGGCCTGGGAAAACCAGAGCCAGGGAGACTGCTGGGCTGGGAAAAAAGGCTGTGTCAGTAACAAACAGTTTATCATTTAACTTTGGATCTAAGAAGGCAGAAAAAAAAAAGAACATAATCAATCAGAATTGGGAGCTTGGAAGTTAAACACGTTTTTTGTTTGGAGTCAATGAATGCTATAGAAATAAGCAGCTGGATCCTGACATTGTCTGCATGTATCTTCGGAATCCAGGGTCCATCCTGCCACCAGGCTCGCTTTAGCTTAGCGACATGGCTTAGGAAGCCCCCGGGATGTGGTTTCAGAGATTTACTCAACTGGGATATTTCATCTTTCTTCATATTTAACTGGCAGAGTTACCTATATTTATAGTAGACGTTTCTGGGGACTTAGTAGAGCATAGTCTATTCAACAGCTGTTAATCTGGTTACATTTATAAATGTTTTTTAAATTTTTTTATTTTTACTTTTTATTGATTTCAGACAGGAAAAGAGAGGAGAGGGGAGGGAGGGGGAGGGAGAAGGAGGGAGAGAGAGGGAGAAAGGGAGAGAGATATGAATGATGAAAATTATTGATTGGCTGCCTCCTGCATGCCCCACACTGGGGATAGATCCTGCAACCTGGGCATATGCCCTGACTGGAAATTGAACCATGACTTCCTGGTTGATGGGTTGACGTTCAATCACTGAGCCCCGCTGGCTAAAAATACTTTTAAAATTACCTGCTGATTCAGAATGTAGAAAGCATATGGTAGAAGAAAGCGGGGGCGGGTGGGGGGGGGGCTCCTCTAAGGTCAGTATCCTAATCTTCAACATGGGGAATAATAATACTTGTCCCACAAAGTTGTTGGCAGGGCCAACCATAAAAATGACCTTGCCACTCATAGAATGCCAGCTTCTCATTCTGAAGAGAAGTCATGACTTAAGAGGCTGGCATACTTATGAAATTGACACCCACCTAGGAATCTGTCAAAACCAAAGAAGACCCTGTGTTTTATGAGATCCATTCTATCTCCTTCCCTGATCGTATTTATCTTATGACTCTTTGCTTTCTGCTGCCTGTGTCTCTGCTTCAGTTTTTCCCTGTTGCACAATGCTAAATTGGCATCTCTGGCAAAAGGTTGAGAAATGGTGTGCACCCCTGTACAGATAATTCAGATCCTCTCAGATTACCCTGGTGGTATAATGAGGAGAGATCCTCACCAGCATGAAACCAGAGTGGGCACAGCAGTGACTGCCTTTAAATCAGAAAGAGACTTCTGGCTGTTGTTTTTCATGTGTCAAAGACCAAACAGCTGGTTTCTCCCTGATCCCACCTGGGGCATCCCATAAACTTCAAATTTCAAAACACAAAACTTCAAAAGACACTGTGGGTGAGCAAAGGGTAGAGGCAAAGCTCTAATATATTTGACTTCCTGCATCTCTGAACTCCTGGAGCATCAATAGCCGATGCTGTGCCGTGTGAATCAGGAGCAGAAAACACAGAAGCTAAAAGCAATGGCTTTGTACATATTCAGACAGACATGGTTTGAAGCTCCGTTTCACAATCCATAATTAAGTGACATGGGACATGTTTAGTTTTCTGACTCCTAGTTTCCTTGTCCTCCTCATTCACTGTCTTATTGCAAGAATTAAATTAGATGATGTATGTAAAGTATTTTGCACAGTAAGTCTTCAATGCATATTTATTAACAACAATGTACAGTATATTTTAGATAACTATTCCGTGTGTGTCACACATCTCTTCATTTCAGTGTTAAGTAATGTAAGGGGGACTGCATCTAATTATTTCTTGAGTTCCTCATGGCGTCACCACAGCAATGACTGAATACACAGAGATGGTCATTCAGCGTTAGAAACATTGGCCTCTAACAACAAGGCAAAGTCAACTATTAGCAGAGGAAGACTGAACCCAGAATCTACTTAAGACTCTTGAAGTCATTTTTTAAAGCTCAAATACATTTCTGGAATGTCACAGTAATACTGTAACAGTGGCATTTTCTAATAAATTCTTCATATATATTTTTCCAAATAAATGAAGTTATCTAGTTTTAAAACCTACCAGACATCCTTAGTATTTACCTCTAGGACTTTTTTTAAGTTTAGAATGGTTCTGACATTCCAATCTACCACAGTCTATGTTTCCATCTACAAATCTATATATATAAAAGGCTAATATGCAAAGTGTCCCCTCGGGAGTTCGATCGCTCGCTATGATATGTGCTGACCACCAGGGGGCAGCATGGAACAAAGGAAGACCCCAGCTGGCAGCTGGGGAAGGAAGGCCCCGATCACCAGGTAGGCCTAGGGAACCTACCCATACACAAATTCTGTGCACCGGGCCTCTAGACTAGATAATAAAAGCCTAAGTGAGTATTGTGGAACGACCAGAACGACCAGTTGCTATGATGCGCACTGACCACCAGGGGGCAGGTGCTCAATGCAGGAGCTGCCCCCTGGGGGTCAGTGCACTCCCACAGGGGGAGTACCACTCAGCCAGAAGCTGGGCTCATGGCTGGCGAGTGCAGCGCTGGTGGTGGGAGCCTCTCCCTCTTCTGTGGCAGCGCTAAGAAGGAGTGAGCTGAGCAGTAAGGAGCAGCGAGCAGGCAGGCACTAAGGAGCGAGGGGTCCTGGACTGTCTGACTGCCAGCTTAGGCCCACTTTCCACAGAGAGCGGGCCTAAGCCACCAGTCGGACAGCCCCCGAGGGGTCCCCGACTGCAAGAGGGTGCAGGCTTGGCTGAGAGATCCCCTCCCCCAACCCCCAGTACACGAATTTCATGCACTGATCCTCTAGTTCTCTGATATTAAGCTCATCTCTTCAGTTCAGATTACCACAAAGGGTCTTTCAATATGATATGAATGTTGTATTATTGATATAGCCAATCTGCAATGTGTTGGTTCTAATACTGATGCCTCAGCCAATGCAATGCAGATGTTCTAGAAATACCCACTCCAGCAAAAAGTAAATTGCAAAAATGAACAGATGAAATTCTTTTCTAAGTTTCAAAATATGTTTATTGCATCCCTTGAGGTACTAGTGGGTTAAACTGAAAATGTAGGTATTACTTTAAAAAATACAAATATTTCAAAATTTTACTGGTTCTCCAAAGGGCCTCAGTTTCCCCCCACAATACCTCATTCTCAGACTTACTTGAGAGAAGAGCTGAACTGCGTGGCTTGACCCAGAGGGCATGTTCAGGCTGGGAGAGACTAAGAGAGGCAAAGCCAGTTCCTGGTCCAAGAATTGTGCCAAAAAGACCTGTATTTAAAAATGAACAGAGTTAGATACTCTTAGTAGAAGCACAGGATACCACCCTAAGTCCTAAGCTGCTATTTGGGAGCGAAAGAAATGTCATGGTTCATGAAAATATAAATTGCTTAGGCTTTTGAAGATTGATAATATACTACCTTGAACTGATTACATAGGGGAAGAAATATGAAAAGTATCAGGCAAGTTCTCCCAAGCATCATCTACTCAACAGATTCCAATTCTGGACTGACTCTTGCATAAAGAGCCTGTCTTGTGGCATTTCAACTAAAGAAGCCAGTTTATCTATTCTAGACTATAAAAGGTCTAATTGAATTGGTGTACTGTCTCAGGAGATCATTCCTCTCTTTTCTAGTTTGAGTTCAAGGGCTAAAACAGTGATGGCGAACCTATGACATGTGTGTCAGAGGTGACACACGAACTCATTTTTTTGGTTATTTTTCTTTGTTAAATGGCATTTAAATATATAAAATAAATATCAAAAATATAAGTCTTTGCTTTACTATGGTTGCAAATATATGTGACAAGGCACCAGAGTTAAGTTAGGGTTTTTCAAAATTCTGACACGCCGAGCTCAAAAGGTTCGCCATCACTGGGCTAGAACATACTTTAAAACCTGAACCCTAGCTTGGAAAGAACAAGGAGGCATAGCGTAAAACTTAAGGGGAGGGAAAGAAAGAAAACAGCTCTGCCATATTACTTAGTTCATGTTACTCGGCCTATGAGTCAAAGGACAACTGAACAATTCAGTTGGTGAGGCCAAAAACAAACAAACAAACAAACAAACCACAATTGTCTTATAGATTAATTCTTGAAGCTTTATTTGTTCTTTACTTGTGTCACTTGCTTACATAGAATACCTTTACCCATCACTTGGAGTACCTTTACCCGTCAATGTTGGTAAGTTGCAGGACAGTTTAAAAGAGTGAAGGTGTGTTATCCTATGATTCTCAAAATTTGTGGTGAAAGAATGATAGTATTTTCTTGTTACTTTCTGAAAAAATGAAAATGATTCCCTTGTCAAAGAGGATAAATTCCTTAACCAGGAATCCAGGTGCATTTAACCAGAGGATCCTGCCTAGGGAAGCTGGTGATGGCAGAGATTAAAGAAATTTATACAAGCACCTGGGCCCCGCAGGAGACTAGTTCCGTGGCCTTCCCGTCAGGCTTCCCTTCCCCACTGAATCCTAGCTCAGATTCTGCCTGATCCTAATGGCCTGTTTTGCATAAACAAGCTGTCCTGTGTAAATACCTGTTTCAGAACTTAGGAAATGTGGTGGAGATTTTTTGTTAATGAAGGTTTCAGGCCAAGTGGAGGCCCAGATCCTCAGCCAAGATAATTATTGGTGAGTGAATAAATTATGCGTGCCCATGCTTGCTGTCCATTTAAACCAAGATAACATTTTAAATATCAGAACCCTCACTTTACACAATAGAGACAAGATTATCCAACACTTCCATTTTAGTCGTGGGTTCATAAACCAGATGACAATCCTTAAATTAAGCAACAACTAATAAAATGTGAGTGGGAAGGCAAAATAAGTAGTTTGGCTCTCCTTACCTGTGTTTCGCTGAGGTTTCAGTTACCATAGTCAACCACGGTCTGAAGATATTACGTGGAAAATTCCAGAAAGAAACAATTCTTAAGTTTTACATTTTGCGCTGTTCTGAGTAGCTCTATGAAATTCCCCACTACCCCGCACTGTCTTGCCCTGTATGTGAGTCGTCCCTTCGTGTCTCCACGCACGCGGCGTCTGCACGCCGCACGCACGCACGCACGCACGCGCCGTCTCCACGCCACACACGCTTGTGTGCCTGGGGACGTCAGTCAGCAGCGTCAGGGTGATCAGATCCCCTGTGGTGCTAACACAGTGCTTGTGTTCACGCCCCTGTTATTTTACTTACTTAAGGCCCCAAAGCGCAGGAGGACTGATGCTGTAATTCGGGCAAGCCCAGGAAAAGCCAGAAAGTGCTTCCTTTAGGCGAAAAGGTGAACGTCCTCCACTTAATAAGGATGAAGAAAGGGGTGTGCTGTGGTTGCTGACACGTACGGTAAGAATCAATCTTCTACCCGTGAAATTGTGGAGGAAAAAGAAATCGTGGTTTTGCTCTTGCACCTGGAACTGCAAAGGTGAAGGCCACAGTGTGTGTGACACGTGCTGAGTGAAGACGGGAAAGGCATTTTCGTAAGGTGGGTTGAAAACATGAACAGAAACCGTGTTCCTAGGGATGGCAACATGTTGCACCAGGAAGCCCTGAGTCTGTAGGAAGCTGGCGACACCCCTTTCCGGCGAGTGAGGGATGGCCACAGCGATTCAGGAGCAAGTTTGCACGAGGAGGGTGAGTACGCTGCAGGGAGGTACTTGGAGAGATACAGAGACCCCATGCACGTGACTTGTTGCAGTATATGATTATAATGGTTCTGTTTCGTCATTTGTGTTGTTGTTCATCTCTTCCTGTGTTAAGTTATCAATTAAACTTCATCATGGGTATGTATATGTAGAAAAAAACATAGTTTAATGTGTGAGATTTGGTACTATCCGCCATTTCAGGCATCCACTGGAACAGAGGCCCCGTGGATAAAGGAGGACCACTGTAAAGTGAATTCATTTTCTGAAAGCCCTGTGGAAAGATAGTGTCGTTCAGGATTAATAAAGATGCAGGTACAAGTATATATGATTGATATATGGTACATGGAGGTAGAATGAGGAAGTTGTGGAAAGTTACGGACTCTGGAGTGAACCCACCTGGGTATGAACTTGGCCCTGCCACTTGCCACCTCTGAGACCCCGCTAGTCACTTACCTGCTGGGGCCTCACCCTCCCATCTGTAAATGGAGCTGTCATAGTACTTACCTCAAAGAATTGTCGACAGGATCAAATTAGTTTAAATATATAAAGCACTTGGAACATTACCTGATAGTAAGTGGTATACAAGTACTAACGTTTTAAAAAAACATTCTTTTCGTCCTCCTCCTCTTTTTTCTTATCCCTGTACCCCACCCACCTTTTCATCATCAATATTTTACATACTAATTGGCCAGGGCTGGCTACATCATTTGCAAGCACAGTACGAGATGAACTTGCAAAGCCTCTTGTCCAAAAATCAGGAAAAAAGCTTTTCCCTTCTTTTGTGGTCTCTCTCTCTAAACGTATCGTGATTTTTAAAAAAATTGGTTATCTAATAACATGCATCTTTTCAAACACAAGTATTTCCATGGCAAGTGTAGACCCTCCCTATAATTTGGTGCTTTGTAGCAAAATCAACAGATTTTTAAAAATTCAGGACTGTTTACTTGGTATGAATAAATATTTTTCTGGGTATTTACCTTATGTTTTACTCCTTTTAAATTATTCATCTTACACTTTGGAAGGAGTGGGGAAACATGGAAAGAGGGAGTCCACTTAGCAAGCTGAGATATTATCACATTTTAAAATGAATGTATTTTGTAATGAAAGTTGGCTTCAAAGTCCTTCAACCATCTTACCTCCAGTGACCTGTTCTTCACCTTCTGTGGCTACCCACTCCCAAGGCCACGTTCTTGACACACACCCCTGGCCTGTACTCATTGGAAGTTTATTGACCTTGTTGAATTCTCTAAATCATTGACTCATCACTTCCAATCACCACCCCTGATGCCCTTCCCTCCATTTGCAGCTTAAATGACATGTTTCACAATTATGGACATATTAACATCCTTCCTTCTTGCATAATCCTCCCCACTGAATTTGACTGGCAGAGCCCCAGTTAAACCATAACTGCCTATTCTGTGCTGGCACTTGGCTGGATAAAAACTCACAGCTATGTTGACTGGTCTCAAACCTCAAATGGACATTCAACATAGCAGCAGTCATATTTACTTCACTTTCCCAGTCCTCAAAATTACTTTTTTTTCCCTTCTGCTCCTCATCCTCTCCCTATTCTTAATCTTATGACCCTGTCTGATTCTTTATTGGGAAAATAGAAGTAGCTAGATAGTAATTCTCCTATTTTCCTCCTTCTCGTTAATCTACCCATAATCTTTCCCTTCCCTCCTCACAATAATGTATCTTTGTTGCATCCCATCAAGAACTTATTTGTACTCTGTATCTGTCCCCTTAGTTTTCAGTTCATTAACACTTGGGAATGTCTCTCTCCTGCATCACAAATGTCCTGACTCTGTGGAGGGCATACACCATGAGAGCCAAAAATGTGATCTGAAAACCAAAATACAATACAAACCTTTCTTGACTCCATTTATCCTTTTAGCTTCTCCATTTTCCCACTCCCTATCCATAATAGCAAACCCTTTTAGAGTTGCCTACAACTGCTGTCTCCATTTCCTTCTCTCACATTCTCTGCTTAACTCATTCCAGTTGGGGTTCTCTCCCCCCTCCTTCTGCGACTGATCTTGTCAAGGGCACCATTCATTACCTCCATGTTACCAATCCCATTGGTCTTACATTATAGGACACTTCCTCATTTTTTTAAAATATATTTTATTGATTTTTTAGAGAGGAAGGGGGAGGGATAGAAAGTTAGAAACATCGATCAGCTGCCTCCTGCACACCCCCCACCAGGGATGTGCCCGCAACCACGGTACATGCCCTTGACTGGAATCGAACCTGGGACCCTTCAGTCCGAAGGCCAACGCTCTATCCACCGAGCCAAACCAGTCAGGGCACTTCCTCATTTTTGAAAAAAATCTTGACTTCCACAATGTACATACTCCTGGTTTTCCTCTTGTCTCACTTGCTATTTCTTCTTTGTCTCTTTTGCTGGCTCCTCCTTCCTACTAACTCTGTAAATGCTGGGAGTTTCTGGAGCTAATCCCTGAGCCCTCTTCTAATCTGAAGCAATATTTTTTCTCCACAGGTGATCTCATCTAATCCTATATAATAAACTATGCTAAATATTTGGTCGTCTGTTCAACCAACCAAAGCGTAATATGTTAATGATATGCTAAGGCCACTCAGCCACTCGCTATGATGTGCAATGACCACCAGGGGGCAAACACTCTGACCGGTAGGCTGATCAGCACTGAGCAAGATGGGTTGGACCCGCCCTGGATTCCTTCCATGGTCCCTCCCTGGCTGGCCAACCTCCCGTGTCCCTCCCCGCTCCAATCATGCACTGGTGGGGTCCTTTTGGCCTGGCCTGCACCCTCCCACAATCTGGGACCCCTCAGGGGATGGTGGAGAGCCGGTTTTGGCCCAATCCTACAGGCCAGCCCGGAACCCCACTGGTGCACAAATTCGTGCACTGGACCTCTAGTTCAGCAGTCACCAACCGGTAGTCTGTGAACCACTGGTGGTTCATGAGGTCCAAAAGGTTGGCGACCCCTAGTTCAATATAATGTACATACCAGTGACTCCCAAGTATGTGTCTCCAGCTCTGACTTTTACCTGGAATTTCATATTTTCTATAACCAACTACTGTCTGACATCATCACATGGGCGTTTGATAGGGAGCAAAAACTTGTCATGGCAGTTGGAATAGCACTGTTTATATTTTCCTTACCCCCAAATCTGCTTCTCTCCCAATCATCCTATCATAGTAAGCAGCCCTGTCATCCACTTAGCTGCTGAAGCCAAAAATCTAGGAATTGGCTTGATATTTCTTTTCTTTATGGTTCCATGTTAAATCTATCAAGACTTGTCAACACTTTCTTCAGAATACTAGTACATCACTAAGCTGCCCACTTTTTCCATCTCCAGTACCCCCACTCTACCACATGCCATTATCCTCTCTAGCCTGAACAACTACAATAACTTCTCGATTACTTTCTTTGCTTCTACCCTTGCACAATTACAATCCTTTCTCTATACAACAGCCAGAGATATGTTTTAGAAAATTTAAATCAGCCCTAGTTGGTTTTTCCCAGTGGATAGAGCATCAGCCTGTGGATCAAAGGGTCCAAGGTTAGATTCTAGTTTTAAGGGCATGTATGTTGGTTGCAGACTCCTACCCAGCCTGGGCACTGGTCAGGGCTCGTGCAGGAGGCAACCAATCGATGTATTTCTCTCACATCAGTCTTTCTGTCTTTTCCTCTCTTTTCCACTCTCCCTAAAACTCAGTGGAAAAATATCCTCTAGTGAGGATTCACACACACACACAAAGTAGGATTTCAAAGACCCTTGACACTGGGAATAAAATCTAACCTTTTTGTGCTGGTTATAAACTCTACCTAGTCAGAGCCTGTCAACTTCTCCATTTATGTCATATGACTCTTTTGTGTTCTCTATGCATACTTCAGCCACACTGGCCTTCTGTGTTCCTCAAACATGCCAAGGTCATCTTAACCAAGGAAACCTTGCACTAGTTGTTTCCACCGCCTGGAATTCTCATGACTCTTCTTCTCATTCAGATACTGACCTAAATGTTACCCTTAATTTATATTGCTATGGAATCATGAATTCCTACTTTATTCAATGAGTTATAATCAGTTATTAGTATTGTTAATTTTATTGCTGAAATTGTTCTAGACTTCACCATTAGGAGTCCCTCCAAGCTGGCTATTGTGTCCTTTTGAGATGTCTCTGTTAATCATTGAGTGCTTTATTATGTTTCGCACAAAAGGATGTTTCAGGCTCATTTTTATATTTTTTCTGGAATTAGCCATTTCTTCAAAAAAACTTTGATTCCTTTTAGTGGAGAATGGTATTTAGCTAAGATATAGGCTCAATATATGCTCATTGTTACTCAGGTGACACTGCTTTTAGGCCTTCTCAGAAATCAGAGCTAGAACCATATATCTTCTATCTATCTAAA